TAAATGTGGTTTTACCATTTGTGTCATTTGTGGAACAGGCGACATGCCTATAGTCAACGCCGAGCCGAGGAACACAAAAATCTTCTTGTGACGTGAATACACGTTCATGAAGCATTCATTCGATCCAACGCAGTAATGACTGTAACTACAGTAAATTCGTATCGTCAGACAAAACATATGTGCATGTGATCAATGGTGTAATAGTACAGTCAAGCATGTCTTAATGGCCACCTCACTATAAAGCCCCCCCCCCCCCCCTTGCCTCTCTCTAGTAAGAATTGTGTGTTGAGGAATATGTCTAGAAAGGCCATTACATTTTTGTCTACAGTGGCCACTTCTTGTGCTGCCCATGGTAGCCGTAATAGACAGGTTTTACTGTACTTCTCCCCCTCCCCTATTTTTTTTTTTGTTTTGTTATTCCTATGACCATCTTGACGTTCCAAGATGAATGAGTACACTATATATATAAAAGCTCAAGTATTAAAACAACCGGTAAAGCGACAGGGAAGTGAAGCAATTTTCAAATTGGTAGATCAATACTTTTAGCGCGCTGGACCCGCAGTAAAATTTAAGGTTGAGTACAATTTCCTTACACTGCTATATTATCGGCTAGAGCCGGGAGAAGAATAGTACAGCAATTATAATTATTAGTACTAAGCCTTATAACAATGTTACTTATTCTTCGTAATGTTATGATTATTAATATATTAATGATATTATTAGTAGTAGTATTAGCAATGTTTTTATGATTATCGTTATTATTATTATGATTATTATTATCATGGGTAGTTGTAGTATTATAAGAATATCTTAAGTAGTATTATCATAATTTGTGTCATCATTATTTCGCATTAATATTATTACAGTTATTATCATTAGGTGATACGTACGTAGACGTATCACCTTTTGATTTCGTCAAGATTTTTATTATTTATTTATTTATTTATTTATTTATTATTATTCTTCCTCGAATTTGTTCGCAGGATATCTCAAGACTGAATAAAGCCATTATCATGAAACTTGCCATGATGATAGATCTTAGTCTAATTTAGAACTGCGTGAATTTTCAAAGACTCAAAGTTATCGTGACGTCATCCAGGCGCCATTTTGTAAAAATCAACTTATGATCATATCTTCATAACGGAAAATAATTTTACATTCATATTTATCAAGATTAAGATCAATATCCGTCGGGTCAATTTGAGGTCAATAAATGCGCGCAAAAATGCGCGTACGCGTAGGCACGCGCGTTAATGCGCGCGGAAAAATTAAAAATACTCTAAATCATCCCAAATTTGTTTTGCATACGTTTCAGGCCATATGGAGCATTTAATAAAAAAAATTACGCACACGCGCATGCGCGCGCGTTTTCGCGCGTACTGGCATTTTGCAACATAGAATCGCCGATTTTTTTCTGTCATCATATTCGGTACATTTTTCCAAGCATTTTGATAATTTGTTCACCTTTTATTAACGCAATGAGCGTCCGTCAAAGTTGACAGCACGCGCGGATTTGCGTTATCTTTATCCACAATACATGGGCAAAAACATGCCTATATAAAATTCATTGTAACTCTTTGGAATAGATAGAAACTCCTAATATTTTGTCATATTTGGATAGATTATGAGTCGGAGATATGATTTCATGTCTCATTTGATCCTCAATTAACTCATGACGTCATCATAATGGCCTCCAAACTCAAAATTTTAATTTGCATATTATGACGTCAGCATATTTTTGGGAAATTGATTGTATCTCTGTAAATATGGATCAATTTTCTTTTTAATTTTGATATGTTCTAGCTGAGACAATTTTCTACAAATGTAATATTCACAATTTTTATTTTCGACAAAAGTATCATGGTGTATTTTTGCGATTTAAGGAGGCATGTCAATTTTTCGCATTTTGCGTGTATTCTCTATGGGACATGACTTTTTCTCAAAACTGGATTCTACACTCCTGTCTTTCGCGAGCAAAATCTCCGTTGTTTTAGCTTCGTTTTCGCTGAGCTTCGGATATGTTGTAGCTGAGACAATGAGCTATCAAAAGTGTGCCCTTTATTTTTCGATTAGATGCCGGGATCATGCTCATATTTCACTTGCAAAGTAGGATTTCTGAATTCCATTTCCTGTTTACGTGTAATCGCTATGGGAGATGTTTTGGTATATCGGTAACACACTTTACTTCCAACCTCGAGATCCCTGGTTCGAGTCCGGGTGTCTCCAACACTTTTTTTTCACTTTTTTTCATTTTGACCTTCACTGTACCATCTCCTTTGATTATTTAAACACGTACATTCGCAAATAATGTCATAAATAACCCTTTTTACTTTATTATTACCCTATTTTCACTTAATCCATTACTTTTTGCGTGTAATCCCTATGGGAAATGACTTTTTCTCAAATCTGGAGTCTACATTCCTGTCTTTTGCGAGCAAAATCGCCGTTATTTCGGCTTGGATTTTGTTGATTTTTGAGTATGTTGTAGCTGAGACTATATGCTATCTAAATCAACCCTCATTTTTTCAATAAGATGTCATGATCGCGCTCATGATCATGATCATGATCATCACGATCATCATTATCATAATGATGCTAATCATTTATCAATTACATTTTCATTTCTTTGAATAAGATAAAATCGTCAAAAGGTGTTCTTCATGATGTAAATTAGAGTCAAATGTGTAACTGGTTACTGCACAGGGTCAAAGGTCATATATTGTTTCAATCTATCTTCCCTAGATCCATGATGATCAAGGAGACACAATTTAATCTTGACATATGAATAGATCATAATGGGAGAAGCATATGAATGGGAGAAGCAAAATAATATATCGTGTAATGCATTATTCGTAATGTAAACCATTATCATACGTATCACCTAATTCGTCTAAGTGACGAATTAAAGTCTAGTTAATTTTGTTATCATAAGTAGCAGTACATATTGCTCCGGTTGTCTCATTTTCGCTCGCTCGAACATTGCCAGCACAAACCACTTACCTCTACCTCCTGGACAGATCATCTCCCATTCCCATCCACTATACGTTACGTACTAAAAGGCTGCATTGTCTGACCGTTCATGAATATGCATGTTTTTGCTTACCTCGGCAAAATGTTTGCTTTTACTAAATGGAAAAATGACGTTAGGGGGTTGGATGAAATGGACATAATGAACCTAGCAGAAGTGATCTATGATAATTCATGCTTCTTATCCTTCGTATGCTTGACCTATAATCTTAAAATCGCTCGGCAAACTGAGTCCAAGGTTCGACTTGTTTCACATGTGTATTATAGGCAATGACGAGCTTGCAATCTATTTTGATCAAATTACGGTGGGTAAACTTTCAAAAGTCAATGGGACATGAGGGTTCCAATGAAAGAGCTAGTGATAACGTACGTCGGGGTGGATGTGCTTTTCGTTCAAACAAAAAATGATTTTTTTTTTTTTTTTTTTTTTTCACGATTTGTTTTTGGTAAGATTCCATAGGCTAACATATTAGGCTGCTGACTCTGGCGATAGGGGGCGTTGTAAAATGAGACTAAACGGAGCTATATGTTATTTCAAGTTTTGTTATTATTAATAGTATCATTGCTATTATTTATGTTATTATTATTACCAATACATATTATTTTCATTATCGTTATCTCTATTACTGCTAATAATACTTCTACTACTACCTTCGAGCCTCTTAGAGTGTATAGTACGTTTCTATTAACCTTAGTGTAAATTTGTGGACATTTCTTTTAATTTTCGACATAGTCTTGAAAGTCTGAGTGTATGCAACATACGTTATTTATTGCACTGCTCCTGTGCACACGGGTGAGCTGGCTCTATAAGAAATAATGAGTTTCGGGCTATAATTCTACAAATTCTACAGATTTTCTACAGATTTCAACAACATCCTGACACCAAATATTACTCTATCACCATGAACGATAAAGAATATGACTTGAGAACACAGAAAGTGAGTAACAACTCCAAAAAGGCAGGCCAAAAGTCAAAAGCAAAAGCCGACAGCACGCTATCGAAAACAGTCAGCGAAAAAGAAGGCGTGGCGTGTGCTTCGGCCCCAGTGCAGCCGGCGCCGCCGGTCGAGATGATCGAGGACACCCCCGACGATCCGCGGTCAGTAATGCCCGAGATGCGAAAGCTCTTCAGTGAATTTTCTGCTAATATCGACGGGAAACTTAACATCATGATTAATGATTTAGCATCGGTTAAAAGGGATTTGTCAGTGATAAAGAGAGAAGTCAGGGATCTTGAGAAGGCAGTTGAGGATACTTCGGGCAGGATTGAGTCAGTTGAAACTGACAAAATCCCAACCATCGAATCATCCATTACGCAGCTCCGTAAAGATCTTGAAAACCAGCTTGTGCGCCAGGAACTACACCATAGGAAGCAAAACCTCCTTTTCTACGGTATCGCCCCTGCACCTGACGAGGATGTCTACGCCACCGCCACTAAAGTTATTTCGGGTATTTTGCATATACCTGCTGTGGAAGCTCAACAAATACACATCATCAACGCTCACCGCCTACCAAGAAGGGGCAATGCAACCGGAGCTGCGGCGCCCCCGGCCGGCCCCGATCCAATCATCATTAGGTTTGGCAGAATGTTGGATCGGGATAGGATCATACGTGCCTACGAGCGCGAGGAAATCGAGCGAGCGAGATCTAAATCAACCCAGGTTGAGCCCGCCCCGACCCATCGTATTTCCGTACGATCTGACCTGCCGCCGGTAATGAAGAGAGAACGGGGTCGCCTATCAGCAATAGCATACAACCTTCGGAAATCACAGTCGCTAAAAACCAAGATTAAAGTACAGGGCACGTCAGTCATCCTCCTTACAAGGGAAAATAAGGGCCAGACATGGACCACCTGGTCGGAATGACATAGCATCAAATCATAAAGGTAAAATGTTCAGTATCATTAACTTGAAAGTAAAGGCTACTCTCTCTTTTTAAATTGTTTATGATCCTCGGTCACGCAAATTACGGGATCCATTTTTTTTTCTTCTGTGCAGGCATGACAAATGCTGTTAATGCAAACAATTTGTTCAAAACTTGACGTTTAGTGTTTGAGATTTCTAGTGTTAAAGCAGTTTATCACCAGGATATTTTTTTTTCTCCTTTGTTTTCCTAACCTGGTCTTATAAAAGGTCTCAATTTAGTCCTTATGATGCTGAGACTGTACAAATAAATTTTGCA